AAAGAAAATACAGTGTTATAGTTAACATCACACAAGTTCATGTGAGCAAGGTTTTATGCATCCATAAAGGAGACTGCATTGGATCTAATTATAATGAATTAAAGATAAATTATAGTTAAATCTGTAGGGGGAAGGATGAGGATTGTGGAGAGTTTTTAAAGTAGTTTTAATTAATTTTCTAAATATGTTTACTTTGCAGTTCATAGAAAATTGATAGTCCTATCCCTTCCCTCAGCGAAACAAGACTTCCTCAAGCTGTGATAAGTACTTCTCAACATTTAAGTATGTAGCATATTTTATACCTTTAGTAGTATGCACCAATTCATTTTTTTCTTGCAATGTGTAGCAATCCAGAACTTACCCATAAGATAACAATTTACAGTCAGGAAGTTAGACTTGCATTGAAAATGTTACCAGCACATTTACAAATCCAAATTCAGATATGTATGGTTTAACATCTTAAACATTTTAGGAGTTATTTGCCAAATTCTTAGAACATGATGGAGGAAACACAGTTTAAGAAAGCAGACTTATAAAAGGATTCATTTTCAGATGACTAAAGGCAGCTACTTTGAAAGACACTTTTAGATGAGCTACTTTCTTTAAAGAAATATTTTAACTGACAAGAGATTTGGAATACAAGCAACACCCTTCACCACATTGAAAATATTTTACAGACATGGTTCTGATGGGTGACTTCAGCTACCCAGACATTTGTTGGAAGAACAACACAGCAACTCACATATCATCCATCAAGCTCCTGGAATGTGTAGAGGACTGCTTCCTCATACAAATATTAGATGTGCCAACCAGGAATGAGGCACTGCTGGACCTGCTTCTCACAAACCAAGAAAACCTGCTTTGTGATATCTCAGTGATAGCCTTGGCTGCAGTGATTGCAATATTGTGGAGTTTCCTGCTGAGCATGCTGAAGGCTACTACTGAGACAAAGGCTTTGGATTTTAGAAGAGCAAACTTCAGTTTGGGGTTGGGGGAGATTCCATGTGAAGCTTCCATAGAGGGTAAAGGAGTTAGAAAACAGTCACAGTTTTTCAAGTAACATTCTCCTGGAATTACAAAAGCAGTTCATCCCCTTTAAAGACAAGGGACATAGGCAGGCAAGAGATCCCCTTGGCTTAAGTGTGAGCTCCTGAGTCTTCTCAAAGCCAAGACGAGTGTCCAGAGATAGAAGAGCGGACAAACACCCACTGAGAACTGCAAGGACATTGCCAGGGTGCACAGAGATGCAGTTAGAAAAGCAAAAGCTCAGCTCAAATTGAAATTGGCCAGAGATGTCAAAAACTACAAGAAAGAGTTCTCCATATGTCAACAAGCAGAAATAAAGCATTGGTCTACTGTTAAACATGAGAGGTGAATTAGTCCCCACAACACTGAAAAGGCAGAGGCTCTCAACAGTTTCTTCACCTCTGCCTCCACCAGCACTGTTGAGTCCCAGGCACTGTGAACAAAAGTCCAGGTTGATGCAAATACAAACCCACTGTCAGTGGAGGAATAGTTGGTACATGAACTAGTACAGGAGCGTGGCTCCTATAAATCGATGGGCCCTGAAGTTTTCCACTTGAAGGTAAGAGAGCTGGCTGACAGTGTTGCAAGGTGCTCTCTATGTTTGAGACATCATGGGGATGTCTCAGAAGACTGGAAGAAGGCTTATGTCGCCCCCATCTACAAGAAGGGCTTAAATGAGGATCCAGGAAATTAAGGCCTATCCGTCTTATCTTAGACTCTGGGAAGGTTATGGAAGTAATCCTCCTGGCGGCTATCACAAATCAAATAACTCACATGATTAGGAAAAGCCAGCACGGATTCACCAGGAGCGAATCGTGCTTGACAAACTTGATTGACAAAGTAACCTGCTTCGTTGATGGAGGGCTAGCAGAGGACATTTTCTACTTGGATATGGTTTCCCACAGCCCCCTCCTCAAGAAACTGATGTGCTATGGTCTTGACAAGTGGTCTGTACAGTGGGTGGGGAACTGTCTGACCAGCTGCGCCCAGAGGGTGGTGGTAAATGGGTCCTTTTCCAGCTGGCAACCTGTCACAAATGGGGTTTGCCAGGGATTGACAGGGCCCAATGCTGTTGAATGTCCTTGTAAGTGACCCAGATGATCAAGTGTACCATGGTAAAACTTGCTGATGATACCAAACTCAGTGGGGAAGTGGATATTTAGGAAGGGAGAGCCACCCTGCAGGATGACATGGTACAGCTGGAAGAGTGGGCTAACAAGTACCTTACAGAGTTCAACAAGGATAAGCATAAGGTCTTGTGCTTGGGAAAACATAATCCAGGAGTGCAGCACAGGCTGGGATCTACTCAGCTCGGGAGCAGAACTGTGGAAAGGGACCATGGGGTCCCAGTGGACAACAGGCTCAATATGAGTGAGCAGCAACAGCAAACAGCCAAGAGAATGCTGGGTTGCAGCAACAAGGGCATCACCAACAGAGAGAAAGATGTCATTGTCCCAGTCTACTTAGCACTTGTCAGGCCTGGAATACTGTGTTCATTTTTGGTGCTCACTAAACAAAATCGATGTGGACAGGCTGGAGAGAGCTCAGGCCCCAGGGAAGGGCCACAAAGATGATTAAAGGACTGGAAAGCCGCCTAAGGAAAGTTTGAGAGAACTGGGTTTGTTTGGCTTTGAGAAAAGAAGGCTCGGGAGACTTTAACACCATGTTCCTTAACACCATTTAAAGGATAGCTACAAAGATGGAGACTGCCTTTTTATAAGGAATCAAATTGAAACGAAGAGGGGTGACGGGCACAAGTTACTCCCAAGGAGATCCCTGTTGGACACAACAGGAAAATTTTTCACAATGAGAACATCAGTGATTGGAATAATCCCCCCAGTGAGTAGTGGATTCTCTAACGTTCAACACTTCTAAGATTCAGCTGGACAGGTTGCTGGGCCACCTTGCCTAGACTGTCCTTTTGCCAAGAAAGGTTGGAGCAGATGATCCTTGAGGTCCCTTCCAACCTGGTGTTCTATGGTTCTATGACATAACTTCCAACCAGGATCAAACTGAGATCTTAGCTGTAGTAATTAGTCAACTCTATATAACTTACTATGGATGTCTGGTCTCTTTTTCAAAGAACATACTTGAAATTATTCGTCCTTATATAAAACATCTTAAAATAACATGTAGGAGAATGAAGAATTTCCATCAAGAAAATTTATGCATAAGAACAAAATTCTCCCCCTCTCCAAAATGGCAAAGTAAGTTAAATATTTCTGTTAAAACACTAAAAAAAAAGATCAACACAAAAGTTTAACGATGTAGTCTCAAGCTTGCACACACAGGAAGTATGCTACCCATAAAAATCAGGGGAAATAGATTAGCAATCTAGAGACCAGATGGTTAGTATTTACTTGCTGCATAACACCACCAAATGTTCCTAAATTTCTTTTTCAAATTTGCCTTTCACATTACGTTATCAGCATAGGAACTGATCCTGCAAACATATACATACTGAGTTCAATAAATTTATTCATTTGAGTAGTCCCATTTACTGTAATACAAGAGACTGTTCACAGAACCAGGCTGCCAATTTAGGGTAATGCTACAGAGTTATAAACTCTTCTTGCCTCTGCTGAATTGGGCAGATTAAATCTGGAAAAATAAGTTAGGAATTCTGGACATGTGTTTTTCTGCTGATTTTGTACTTTCCAAGAGAGATAGCCATTTACGGAGAACATCATAAAAGACATTCCATGTCCATAAATTATGGCCTGGTTTTGTGGATAACTGTTAACCTTGGCAGGGCCTGAAATAAAATGAAATCTTAAAATGCTTCTCCCATTTGAATTCAAGGAATAAAAGTCACAAACTATTTGAAGCAGCAGATTGTTAATACCAACATGAAAAAAACACAGTTTAATTATAATGGGATCTTTATAAAAATTACTTAACTGCTCTTTGTGAGTTTCTGAAAAATATTTTTGCTTCCAAGTATTTGTCCAGAGGCTTATTTTTCTCTGGTGGGGTCACTCTTCATTGTATCCTACTTATAACTTGTCTAAGCTATCTTTTGGAGTTATCTGTTCAAAATACACAGAATTTCACTAGTGTTAGCTCTTCGTAATGGAACTTTTCCCCTTCACGTTTTTCCTTCCATTTTCACTTTTCCTTCTAAAATGTCATGTTTCTTCTCATCCCTGTTATTACCAGCTTTTTTGTGGAGGCATTTACTTTGCCCCTTTGCCCAACATATTTTTTCCTATCTTTCCTTTTATCACAATCCTACTCTCAATTGCTCGCATGTTTCGCAATGTCTCGTTTTCTCATCTGCCTCCTCAGGTTCTTTTTTATTCTATTTTTACATCACTCACAAAGTCACCTTCCCCCAGGCAGTGCATTTCCTCCCCTATTTATTTTTTTCCATTTGCACCATCTGTGTGTGTTTATGTAATACAGGAGCTCCATTTAGTGAAAGTGATATCGTGCTGTGCTGACCCCGTTACTACCCTGAAAATAAAGAATTTATTTTCCTATGCAACAGTTTATTTGTTGATCACACTTTGAGAAGGCACGAGGGAGTTCCTTTAATGTCATAGTTACAGTGATAAACTTCAGTAACCCCTGATGTGCTCTGCTTGAATACTTATTACACTCTAAACTCCCTACACATATAAACACAGCAGCAGTGTCTCAGTTTTGCCAAACTAGGAACTGTACCAAGTGTTTTAATTCTAGGCAGGTCTTTCAAGTTATAATTAGTCAGAATATTTCAGACATTTAAGTTATCTTTACCTGCAGCTAACAGTCCCAGATAGATGAGAAATCTCTGCCTAACTTATAAAACAATATAACAAAAAATACCCAAAACCTCCAAACACACAGGAAAATCATTCAAACTATTTATTCAATTCAATGCTTAGTCTTTACTAAAACTAACAAAACAGCAGCAAAAAAAAGAAACTATGGGTAGGGAGGGAATTTTCAAACTGTTGCCAGAAGAAGTCTTAGAAAAATCCTGTCATATATGAAACTAGTTCTATTTGCCTAAAGCAGTGCTGTGCTCACTCTCTGGATAAAAACAGGACTAGAAAACAGATAACTCAGAAGGATGGAAATAAAGCCTTTTGTTAAAGAGATGAGGTTTTAAACTCCTAAATTTAACTACTACAAAATTGATGTTTTATAGAGAAACAGAATCTCACAACCTCCAGAAAACACTACTTCCTTTAATGCAGTTATGTAAGACAATGTTCAAAGTCTCATCTAGAATGCTATATATCATCTCAATCATTCACCTTTAAAAAGGATGAACTCAAAGAGTAAAATCAGCAAAACAGTCATCAGAATAATCCCTACCTTACAAAAGAGTGTTATTCTTCTGAGGAAGGGCTGCATGGGACTCGACCTGTGGTTCTCAAGAGTAAACACTACAGAAAGCAGCAAAATCACAGTGTTCATGCAAGAATAAATTAGTATACATTGACCAGAATAATCCTTGAAGCAATCTGCTAAATTGCAGCTCACCCAGCTGTAATGCAGCTCTTCATATAATTCTTGGAACAAAACATGTAATTCATTTTAAGGTACAGGTCCACAGATTTACAAAAGGATTATATGATATCGTTGCTTGTGCTAGCAGGGAAGGAATCAGTGGATTTCCTTCATTCCTGTATTTCTACAGCACCAGAATTATAATTCTCATAGCATGCAAGGAGAATGGCTATCTACTCTAAGGTGCAAGGTTCAAATCTGCTGCCATTGTTATTGCTTATTAATCGGATTTAATTGCTATAAGATTCAAGTAGATAATATCAGTAAATATTTTTAATTCCCATGGAGTTAGGGAAGAGTTTCTTTATATCTTACTGTAAACAAATTGAAGTGTCAGGAACACTGTGACATGGATATATCAGCCTACCCAATAGATCGACATCTGGAATGTATCAAACTATGACAAAGCACACAACATATATGCCCTCTCTCTTATATGCCCGTATGACAGTGCTCTGGCAAGTGTTCTAGTCACCCATATGACATTAGGAATAGTCCTGCTTTTAAGAGTAGTTCTGCAGAGAGAGATATAATTTCATGATTCTCTTTCAGATATGACATTCAGTTTCCATACAAAAAAAGTATTTGGAACTTCACTTTTGCTAAGTGTCAGCTATGACCCTACCTTTGCAGAATCACACCAGACAATTGCCTTTTTCCCAGTCACCCAATCACCAGAGTAAAGATGGAGTGAAGGAAAGTTACTTAAAAGCTTTTCCTTCAGCAGCCACCATTTTTCTGCAGGTTCAGTCTTCTACATTTGCATTATCCTGTTATCATGAATTAAACTGTAGGAACTGGACCACATTTACATCCTTAATCATTCTTAATCTTCATACCTGCAGGATCTTCTAAGAAATATTTCCACATATTATTAATTTGCTTGGTGAGTATAACCTTTATCCTGTTCACCAACCATAATTACAAATTGGTTGGATCTGGGGTTTAAACTAGTTTAGCTAACATTCGCTTAGGCACCAGTGCATTAAATTATATAGCAAAATGCAAACACCTTCAAAAACAAGTTTCAAGAGTGGTTATTATTTAACAGTGAGAATGCAAAATGGCCTGAGCTCCTAGTGCTAACATTAATTGTACACTTTCTAGACCTGGATCTGAACTTCAGTCTTGAAATACAGTGAAAGCAGCAGAAATACGATTTTCAAGAAGGACGCAAAAATAAATGGTATATAGAAAATTCAGCCAACGAATTTCTGAATTTATATTAAAGGTTATTTCAATGTCATATTTCATTAAAGAGCTGAATACTTGCTGGGACTTCAACAATTTAAATACAATCCTTTATGCCTCCGGCTCCCTCTTGTGGTGTATCAATGTTGATCTGCTTTGCAGACCACACCTTAGAACATCTAATTGCACACCAAAGCTGTGCCACAGCAAATGCCACTGCAGGGGTGTTGAATGTTCTTCTTTACTTCCGTCTCTACATTTTGGGCATCAGTATAGGAGATATTTACACTGCAAATAAGAATTAAAAGCCTTTGACTATGGTTACCTCTCCCAGTATTTTTCACTGTCCCAAAGCATATCTGCCCAGCAATAATAAATAAGTTTCTTCTTTTTTCTTTATTTCATTTGATAGATTATATATATATATGTATATACACACAGTACAATAGTTTTCTTTTGTGATAGAGAATAAATGAGAATTTTCATTGCTGGTTGTTCTTTAAGTCAACAGATTCCAGTTAATAATGAAAAAAAAATTAAACATTTAATATCAAAAGCAATTTCAAGTATCTTCTATACATTTTAGTATTCAGTATATAGTTAGGTGGTTTGAGGGGTTTCTTTTTATATCAAAAGTGTATTTGAATAGACTATTTTTAACCTAATACTTTAGAGTACTATTAATATCAGGCAGGCAGTTTAAAATTATGTATCTCATGGTCCCAACTAGCTCTTCACAAGAGCCATAGGTCACTTGTACAATGTATGTTTCAAAATTGGGTTTAATCATCAGCAAAGTCAAGATGCAATCACCATGTTTAGAAATGCACTATTTTGTTCTACAACAGGTCAAACTATAGTCCTTGATGTGAAGCAATGTACAGCACCACTGTCTGTATAACAGTACCTGACCTAGGCATAAATAGTACTGAAGTTCCCAGAGCTATTCATCCCTTAACCTTTCTGTATAAAAATAATTCAACTTATGCATATATTGCACTAATTTTATCATACTGGATAGCTCTCATTCTGCATTATCTGTTCTCTCTGCTTAACTAAGATTACACTAGGGTTTTGATTTCCATGGAAAAATCTGGGAATAGGGCAACAGACACACATACGGTGTGCAGTAAGGGGATATCTATTATATCAATAGTAATCTCAGAGGCATTCACAAAGCAAACTACACATTAGATTTGGAGATCATTTTTTCCAGTAGATTCATCATTCTCTCCTGTAACTGTAAGCTTTGAACTTGAATGATGTTTTGCTGATCCAGAATCCTGCGCACTTCTCTACAGGTTTCTTCCATAGCTCTACTCAACTTCTTCTGTTCTTCCAACATGGCCTCCATTAATTTTAGCTTCTTCTTTTGGAAACTGCAGCTTTGCATTTTTCTTTTCTTAACTGGTCTTTCTTCAGCTCTGAAATGTGAATATTTGTTAATTAAACTCATTTATATAAAAAGAAACCTATGTTAGAACCTAGAATTCTATACTACATTCTTGGCCTAGCTACAGCCTAGTCCTATTTTTAAACCCCTCTGTGCTCTCCAATAAATCCCCTCTCAAGTTTGTGCCAAAACATAAGTATTTAATGTGACTGGCTTAGTTACTTGCATAGTCTTACAGGCTGAAAAAACAAAAGAAAATAATAATAATTAAAAAAAAAAAACCACCAAGATAAAAACCACAATTTGTAAATGTCATTGGTTTTAATAAGAATTTTCCATGGAGAAAACAAGGCATTATTTCAGGGGGAGGTGGCTTTTTTCAATCTTGATTTCCCTTACACATTGAATTTATAAACTGTATTGGGAGAGGCCAAATTTTGCTTATTTGGCCATTAAAACTCTAATTTTAAAGCTGCAACAACCATCCCACACAGAGAAAGTGCTGCGCTCTTATGTGTGGTGTAAGTTAAAGTTTGTTTTTTAAAGCATCACATAAGTAAGGCTGGTCCCACTACAGAATACTAGTCTCAGAACTAGCCCTTGCACTGAACACTTATTTCTATATTTCATCACAAACCATTATAAAGAACATAAAAATTTAGGAAGATAAGGCTTACAAGATTCCTTCTTTTCTTAGTGGATGAGAGAAAGTCTGTGGATGTTGTCTACCTGGACTTCAACTAAGCCTTTGACACCATTTCCCACAGCATTCTCCTGGAGAAACTGGCTGCTCATGGCTTGGAGAGGTGTACTGTTTGCTGGGTAAAAACCTGACTAGACAGCTGGCCCCAAAAAGTGGTGGTGGATGGAGTTAGATCCAGTTGGTGGCCAGTCACAAGTGGTGTTCCCCAGGGGTCAGTACTGCTCAGTTCTGTTTGATATATCTACCAGTGATCTAGATGAGGGGATTGAGTGTGCCTTCAATAAGTCTGTAGATGACACAAAGTTAGGCAGGAGTGTTGATCTGCTGGAGGGTAGGAAGGCTCTGCAGAGGGATCTGGACAGGCTGGATTGATGGACTGGGGCCATTTTTGTGTGAGGTTCAACGAGGTTCAGGCCCAGGTCCTACATTTGGGCCACAACCCCATGCAATGCTACAGGCTTGGGGAAGAGCAGCTGGAAAAGGACCTGCAGGTGCTGGTTAATGGAGCTGAACATGAGCCAGGCAGCCAAGAAGTGCAACAGCATCCTGGCCTGTATCAGCAATAGTGTGGCCAGCAGGGCCAGGGCAGTGACCATCCCTCTGTACTGGGCACCTTGAACACTGCGTTCAGTTCTGGGCCCCTCACTACAAGAAAGACATTGAGGTGCTGAAGCAGGTCCAGAGAAGAACAACGAAGCTCATGAAGGGTCTGGAGCACAAGTCTCATGAGGAGTGGCTGAGGGAACAGGGGTTATTTAGCCTCGAGAAAAGGAGGTTCAGGGGGAACCTTACAGATATCTAAAAATACCTGAAAGGAGGTGGTAGTGAGGTGGAGGTCAGTTTCTTTGCCCTACAACAAGTGAAAGTGGAAGTGTCCTGCACATTTTCAAATCCTTAGTTACAGCCGGGTAACTTCTTTTCTAACTTAAATAATAGTCCACATGTTCATTCACACCTTTTCTAACTCCAGACTGGATTCCCCAGCATCATAGTTATCTGATGATAGGCCTTTTATGTCCCTTCATACAAAAAGCAATCTCAGCCATGTTCTGCCAAATGCAGTATCCTTTCTAAGTAGGATGCAGTAATGAGATGGCACAGTTGTGAGTCGTATGCCAAGTCAACACCTTGCAGATTTCAAGACATCCTTGAACAAGGATAACTTGAACTCTTGAGGAATGTGTTTTATTAATGTGAAGAAAGGAAGGGAGGTCATTGAGCTGTGGCAGATTTGTATCATAGTTTCATTCACATTTTTATCCTACTTGACAGGCTTTGTGCAACGACTGTGACATTCAGATCTCTCAGGAAGAGAAATAAACAATCCTAAGCACCTGAAAGACTTAATGCAAATATAACAAAAAGACACAAGCCCCTTGACATTCAAGAGTGCAATTACCCAAAAAGGGTGAGATCTATGAAAAGAAACAAGTGGATTAAATTAAATGGTATTAAAATCTTAGAGGGAAAAAAATAGAATTGCTCTTGAGGGAAACTGTGAGTACTCTTTAGACATTCAAATATGCTGTCCCCTTATGCACAGGTAAGAAAAAACATCAATCTTGTTTAAATGTGTTTTAAATGTACACTAACATAGTGAACAAAGACCACTGGCTTTCGGATTATCCAAGACTTTAAATTTACTTGTACAATTCAAAGAGTTTTATCACCATTACACTGCTACAATAATACTAAGGGAAAGGAGAAGTCATCATCTTTATGCTAAACAAAACTTTGGAAGTTATACAATATAAACTCACATTTGTAGATTCTATATATCATATTTGATTCTGAGCATCAAATAAATGTGCATAAAATAAATACATGCTGCTCTGCTCAAACTGTGAGTCAAACTTGCAGCTGATCACTGAGATTATCACAGCCAGACAATCCTGAAAGAGTGAGTCTTGTCTGACTGCAAATTCTGTTTGCCCCTGTTACCTCTAAGGGCTGGAATGATTTGAAATGTGATTCTCAGAGAGGTCAGGCAAGTGAAAAAGGTCTACAGTAGCCTAAGGACAACACTGAATCTGTTATTCCAAGGCTCCCATCACTGCACTCCCATTCACAAAGAACGCATGCTTTCTGATAGGCTGAGCAAGAAACATTTTGAAATGATGGTATTAGTTTAGCTAAAGTCACCTTTTGAATTTAAACCTGTCTTCCCAGAGGATTTAAATGTTGAAAACGCAGCCGATCTCTATCCTCTTCCCTATACAGTACTAGAAAGCAGCTATGGTAAGACATCCTGCCTGAAACATGTAAGAACTGGCTCCTAGAGCCACAAGATGGCTTGTGTGTTGTCAAAGTAAGCCCTGGTGAGAACGGTCCTTAATAAGGAATGAGAGAGAAAATCTGGGGCATGTCAGTGGTACTGAGCTGCACTGAGCATTGCGGGACTTTCTTGGCAATTGTGGCTGCCATGTGGGTTTTAATTTCAATGGAGACCAAAAAATAAAAGAAAATAAAAAAGGAAATGTAGTGATTTGAATGGAAAGATCTAAAATGAGCCTTATTTTTAAGGGAAGGTAAAATAAAATCTTTGAAATGTTTTCCTAGGGTCTGTGCAGGATTTTATCTGTTTTTCAGTTAAATTTGGTTCATAAAAAGCCTATAAGATGTATAACTATACATCCAATGCAATAACTGCCTTGGGCAGCTACAGAGAGAAGAGAGAGGCAAAATGTCTGGTGGTGATGGCAGCTACCTGGGGAACTGTGTCAGCAATATCTGTATTCTGCCAGTAGCTGAGAAAGCACTCACTGACAAGTGCTTGCTCACATCAGGTTTCAGCACAGAAAAGTCCCCCCAAAAGCCAGGGCACAAGGATTCTTCAAGGTCTGCTAAGTACTCTTTCTGTTTCTTTACAATTAACAAACACAACTCAGTAATTAGTCTTCATTGAAAAGAAATTTCAGATATCCCTGGCTTTGGTGGTGTTCCAAATCTCCTTTTCTCTCCAGCCATAGTGACTAGTAATGAGAGTTTTATGATCACTCACAAGTACATAGACTTGGAATTTACAATACTCTCTTTGCAGAATAGCTCTCGAAGGAGAGCCCTTGAGAAGAGGTCTACAAAAGAAGGATCTAAGGAATCTAATTTACAAATAAAGAACCCTCAGCACCAGGGAACAGTGTAAAATGTCCAGTGATGCCTGAAGGAGTTACTTGAATACTGAAGTGTTTCCTCAGACACTGAGCCATCTTTCTTGAGGAGTTCTAGGTCTCGTGAGCAGCACGCCAGAGACAACACTCCAGTGTCAATAAATTTGTACAACAGAAAGTCAAGAGGAAAACAGAAGTAGGAACACGGGTTCAGCACTGAGTAACCCACCAGCATCAGTATCCTCGAATGGTTTCAGCTACGAGTATGTCTAGTTTGGTAATCTATAGGCATGAGCATAAGAAATGATCAGTATTTGCTGTAGCAAACACCAATCATTTCCTGTTGCTGTTTCTCCATGTTGCATTCCATGATTCTATGATTCCTTTGCAGCTAACGCCTCTGGGACAATAGGGGTGCAACAGATCCTGACAGCATCCACAGCCTCTGTCAAGCCTGGTCTCTGAAGGCGGATTTTCAGATCTGGAGGAAAGAGTGGTCTAGGAAATCCGGGACCTCAGATACAATCCTCTGATACTCTTGGGCCTCTAGTGTCTATGGCAAAGGGCCTTCAAGAGAACTGGCACGGGCATTCCCCTGACTGCACAAATGAAGAGTGGAAGAGCTTTGTCATTAGGACCATGTTCCAAGCAGAACCTTGCTGAACTATTTACACATTATGCTCCAAAACAGGCAATGCAGGGTTCAAAAGAAGGAAATGAACCAAGGGAATTCCATCTCATCTAGGATCCTGAACAGAAATGAATGTGTACTGGAGACCAGGGGGAACAAAGCAAAACCTCCAGATGTAACTAGGCAAGGTATTAGGCAAGTCTCAAGTGAATTTATTGTCTACCTATCTAAGATCAATTTAATTCACTGTTCAATTAAAAGTTCCTTGGTAGATTGCTTACACTCACATAAGGCTCATTTCAGGAGTGTGTGTGAATAATTAATGAAGCAAGAGTTGAATACAAAAAGTAATCTCTCTACCAAAATGTATCACCTCCACAAAACCATAAAACCAGTTCTTCCTTTCTGGCTACTTCATGGCAAATGGGTCTCCAGTTCCATCAGTTTCTGGAATCTATGGCTTTCAACAGCTAACAGCTGTTTCTGGCTTGTTTGCGCTTTTCTAGCTATGTACAAATCTGACTAGCCCTCCATAATCCATATCTTCATGGAAAACAATTAACAGTTATTTGGAAATAAGCAATTATTAATGTTAGAGATGGCACAACAATCCTCAGAGTTTGAGGACTGAAGATCAGGTAACCTGGATCTTCTGGTAAACTAGGCTCATTCAAATACAGCCAAATGCATTTAGGAATTAACGAGGCTCATCCTTGAAGTCAGGTTTAGAAAGGAACCACAGAAATGGCTTAGAGCCTGGGCAAAGGATCTTGCTATCATAACTCTGCATAATGAGTTAAGATGCATGACATAATAATGCGCATAGCCTAAAGCTCAAACTTCTTTGTAGATGCTGCCCATTCAGATTTTAAACAGCCATGGCATAATTTTAGAAAGATTAAAGGCTTTGCCAAAACTGTTATTTCCTGAATTAGAATCCTCACCAAGTTTTAATGCGCTTCTTTTAAACAATTCATGTCTTGGTTAATTTATGTTACCGATTCTTCTGTGGGTAAACCTTCTGTACTAAATTATTCAACCTACATTTAAAAATTAAAGAATATCAAAGATGGTATGATCATGGCACACAACTAGCTTGGGGCAAAAAGTGAAAAATACTGAAAGGGTCTCCAGTATAGTGAAAAGAAAGATAAAGAAAAGTAACATCTGAAAGTTTAATTCACTATATTCACATTAGAAACAAGACACCAGTTCAAGCAAGGGTTTAATCACTGGAACAGATCCCTATAAGGAAAAGTGAATTCTCCATCTTCTGAATATATCAGTTCTAAGCTGGATATCTAATAAAAAAGTTCCAAGAGTCAAATGAATCACAGAAACAAAGAAGTAGAGGACAACAGAGACATGCTGTTGTCCTCTGCTAAGGGAAGTGTGCCACAGAACTCCCTCCATAATTTTTCTGGGCTCCAGAACAGAATAACTGAATTTAAATACATGGATGGTATTTAACAAGGAGTCAGACTAGGTGACACGGGGGTTTTCTTATGGTCTATCATTCTACAAAAGTAACTCTTTCACCCCCATCTTCAGTACAATAGAAATGGCAGAAGAGATGAAGTCTGAGCCACGCTCTCAGTCTGTGTAATTACATTCTGTCATTACTTTAACAATGAAAACAGAGACTATAAATTAGCCCGCAGGGTGAAAAAAACAGTTTTCAATTAGGTAAAAAGTCATTTACAGTGGTGTCAGGAATTTTGATTTTAAAAATGTAAGCTGCAGTACGAGACTCCAACACGTTGCATTCTATTATCTGACAATAACAGAATGATTCTATTATTGTCAGCTGCTGTATGGACACTGCAGTACAATACCAGCTTTGTTGAAGCCCAAGAGCTGTGGTAGAACAATACTAAACAAATTCCCATTAAAGGAAAACGGGGATTCCAAATGTTTTCTTCATCTGAAAATTGCAACAAAAATAAAAATTAATTTTATTCCACAATGGTTGTATTGCCACTAACTAGCAAAATTCAAAGAATTTAAAATAAAACACAAAGAAACACAGTTTCAATTTTTTTAGCTTGACGGTGTGTATGTATTCATTGAAGTATAAATCTTGACATATTTCTCTATCATAAATTAAATTTAGTAATTTTTTTAAGTCATAATTTCTGTAGCCAAGTAGCATCCTTCTATGGTCGAGGATACTGTGGCAAACAGGAAGCTCAGACTCAAATGCTGTATTTGAGATTTTAAAGGAATAGTACTAAAGTTTTCAGAAGTTTAAAAGTTGGCTTAAAAAAGAGTATTGATTGAGGTTTTCTTGACTATCCACTGTTGTCATAACATTATGATTTTTATTACTGAAGAAAAAATCCCGTAGCATAAGCTTACTTTGCAGTTGACTGAACTGCACAGAAAAATAAGGCATATACAGTTTTAAAATATACAGCTGTAAAATGCCTCTATATTTCACATACATATATGTGTGTGTTTTTCAAAATACGTTTCAAAATAATTGGCTTGCATAGCTGTAGAGTACAAAAATTGAGAGAGAAATTAAGGACCTGAAATGTTCTTTCGATTTCAAATCCCAATATTGTCTTTAGTTCCTCTTTTGAATCTGTCAGATCATCTGTGAACCATTTAGGGCCAAGAGCATTTACAAAAATTCCAACATGGACCCAGGTTTTGTATGGGAGTTCTTTTCTCTCTTGTTCACTATTTCAAAGTGTCTTTCAACTACGGGATGACACACTAATTGCAGAAGCTGAAAATTGCTTCTCAGTTCATGATTTACCATTAGTAACTCTAAGAGAACTATCTGCCTTTCCCTTAGTACCTCTAAGCGATTTTAACCCAGCTGATACCATTAGCAAGCACTGTATTTCCTTCTGGTCAAGAAAGAGTTCTCTACTCTTCTCTCATTCACCAGGGTAAATTAAATAGGTCAAAGCTGTACAAGCTTTTCAAACCCCCCCTACAGGAATACCACTTCTCTTCCCACATACTCACCCCCTTAATATCACAAGTGCCTTCTAATTTTTAATCTGATCACAATGCTCACCTGAAATGTTATATTAATCTCTGAAGTGGTATCTACTGCTCAACTTTGAACTAGGATGAAAAACAGTTGTTGATTGTGAACAAAAAGGTTGCTACAGTTCAAGAATTATAAACCCTAATATATATTCAGTCACCAAAAAATAAGTTTTAAATAATAATCAGCTATTCGAGGGCTATTTGGTTGAGTGATTGAATGAATTTACCCTAGTTTCATTCATCCAAGAGTAGGCCTGGAATCAATAATCCATTCTTGTTAGGTTGGCTCTTCTTCCAGCTCAACACCTTCTCAGTTGCATGACTGACAGATAATTTCACTGTTTTAGTAAAAGCCTCACAGGCTCACGATAAGGATCTCTAGGACCAACTGTTTTTCCTGCCAGAAAACAGTAATGAGCTCTTATTTCACACCACTCTGGGTGAAAAATGACACCAGTAAAGTCTAAAAAATTGTATCAACCCTGCCTTTTGTTAAAACGCTGCCTTCCAGAGAACTCCAATCTTATCAAGAAAAGGGAACACATGTTTGCATTCTCTAACTAGCATTTACTTTGAAAAAGTGACATTCTCAATTGTATTTAAAATGTTGCCATGCACTTTCAAACAGCGCGAGTAGCACTTTGGTGTCCACAGAAATATTTACTTGGCATCTTTTCACTGTTTTAATAATAGGTGAAGCCAAAGAAATTTCATACTCATACCAAAAGCAAAAGTAGAGCGTGCCAAAAATCATCTAAACTGTATGTTATATCTCAGCTCACACTGCAGGGCTCTCTTGAACATGCCTATACCCCTATAATAAACACTCCACCTCATGTGAGCCATGACATGCATGCTGAGTTTTGGCTATATTATACAACTTTTTCCCCAGTCCTCCTACTCCCTTCCAGTCTCTCGTAAAGGAATAAAGAAAATGCCCTAATTCAATGAAGTGGCTGAGACTGGGGAACAGATCTCATTTGTGATTTACAGAAAAGATACAGAAGCCGTTAGAGAAAAAGATGCTAGGGTGTCCCCTTTACATAGCAGACTCGGTTCATTCTGTGGAACACAAGAAAGGGGGGAAAATAGATACTACCTCAGCTTGTAAGAAAGTAAGCTTGACGAACTCTCTGAGTGTTCATCTTCAAAGCACTCTTCCCTTCCTTCATATGTAAACTGGTTATATGGCAAATACAGAGGTGTAGACTTGGCTGATGGAGACTGTGAGGCCTCCGTCTGTGATGTGGAAGGACCTGGTTGCTGGTTTTCATGCATTTTCACATCGCTGTGGTCTGTCACTTTGGATAAGATCCTATCGATGGTTTTGTAGTAAGGCCAGTCAGGTGCAACAGTTTCACTGTCAGTCATGCATTTTAATTTCCTGTAAGAAAAGGCGTACAACATTAAAGCTTGTTTTCTTATGAAGGTACTTTTCTTACAGATCTTCTGTCCCAAAACATTTGTTCTGGTCACATTTAGGAGTTAAACTGAATACTTTCCATGAGAACAAAATCAGACACTTTTCTTTTAATCTCCAATGACACCTTTCAGTTTCTCTTCCTAGTTTTGCCCTGTGACTAAAAGTTGCATGTAAACCCCAAATGAAATTCAATACAAATAAAGATCATTACAGCTTATAATGGAAAGTGTACTTTTGGTTGTAGAATATTTTTTCTTCCCCTTACAGAGTGCCAGACTAATCAATCTGACAGCAGTCCCTGACAACTAGAGTAGGCAACACATCACAGCCTTATCCAAACTCTGGGCAACCCTGTCCTTCCATGCTTTCAAGAATAAACATTACTTTTCCATGATGAATACAAGTGACTATAAGTATAATCCATATCCTTTTCCTAATACTGCCTAAAAGCTCTGGATTGCCTAGGTAAACATCCCAATAACAACCATGAGATGGTGGATGTCTGTTCATCTGTTACAGAATAATGATCAGCGTAGGAAGAAGTATAGAATTTAATTAATTTACAGAAATAACCCTAAGAAAACCAGTTAATATTGCATTATAAACAGCATGCACAAAACAATTACAATGACAGTGAAAGGAGTCTCAACCATGGACTTGTCTTTCACATGCATCTTAGTATGAGATCTATTAATCACTCCTAACCCAATGTTCACTTCTATACCACTCAGTGCCCACTCTTCTTTTATTTATTTTTACTGAGTAATATAAAACTGAGGTATACAAATGAATTGTACATCTCAAGTAAACTCCAGTGCCCAGCTAAAGTCCCAAACTTTCTTTCTATTTCCCTTTCCCAGCTTGGATCTTGCTACTCTAAATCAAGATGCAGCAAGGTTACACGACAGGAAAGGCAAGACCAGTGACAAATGCTCCATTTTCATAAACCAGATTTCATTTAAATTAACAAAAAGCTGAACCAAATCTAATTGTCGCAACTTTCCACATGCAGAAAAAAGGATAAAAACTATTCCTGGACACCTGGCCCACCCCCTTTTCTTGAAGCCTTTCAGGTTTTTCATCCTCAGAATCCATCCTGCCCACACCGGTCCTGCAAAGGATAGAATTAAATAACATGTAAACACGATAAAAATGGTGCCAAACTTAAAAGTGAGAACTTCAAGTTCTTCCTTTTAGACAGCGTTTAGCCTAGGGTAAGGGGAAATCCACCAGTGAGTGAAAAAAGCAGTAAGATTTGCTTAGATTTTAAAGCCATTCAAGGATTCTTTTCTCCTTGTTCTTGCAAGGTCTGGTGAGCTTTTCCAGCTACTTAGAAATGCACATCACAGTCCTGCACAGCAAAGCCTCCTCAGCCATCCAGATTTTTATGCCCTCTATGCATTCAAAATTTTAATTTCATACATGTTTGCAACCTATTGCTGCGACTTCATCGTCAGAGAATGTTTAGCACAACCTACAAATACCCGTGTATCCATCCAGCACAGAAACAAAACAGCTAAATACAAGGCTGACAGCAACCATCATTTGATATTGATTATTTTTAGTTCAATTATTTAGGCTATTTGCATGAAAAACGTATCAATTAAACCATTATAAGCTACTAGCCAAGTCCATGTTCCACATTTGTTTGCCCATCTTGAAACAAATGCATTCAAGCAATGGGGTTTAAAACATTACTACCCTCAACTGCTAGTTTCAACACATTCACCATGGTTGGTCATCTCCATGGGCCAGACAGCGAAAAGCCATGTGTGCGCACATCTCAGCCATGCCATGATTTGGTGGTAGATGCCCCAACCTCTGGAAACATTCGAAGTCAAGTTGGATGGGGCTCTTAGCAGCCTGACCTAGTAGACGATGTCCCTGCCCATGGCATGAGGGTTGGACTATGTGACCTTTTTTAAAGGTTCCTGCCAGCCCAAACCATTCTATGTTTCTATGAAGTTTTCAGGAGCAGGTATTTTGCCTGAGCAAGTCAGTACTGTGGTTTCTGTGTTTGAACTCAGCTGTGTACCCCAGATCCCATTTCTTTACAAAACTATCCTGATTTTGAAGGAATAGTTGTTGTTTATCATCTGCCCACACAGCCGTAGAATTGCAGCTATATGAAACCAGGTATTTCTCTGCCTCTGAATACATTGAATGAATACTAATTCTTCCACTTCTGACTGTTTACCATAGCTCTGGGCTAAAAAAGGGGATCACTACCAGGAGGTAGGCAAGACGGTTTTGTTAGCTTAAAAGCAGCACCAGAAGCAACCATCTACCTGTATAGTGTCTGGCTCATACATAAAGAAAAAAGGATGAAATAGATGGAGAGATGTGAAGATAAGGGGGGAGGGAGAGCCAGTCCTTTGGAAAAGAATTAAGAACACTGCAGGTGGAGGAAAAGAGGAAGAACATTCACCACAATAGTGGTGACGGTTTAGCCTTCTGGTAAAAAGAAGCCTGGAGAAGAGAAGGCTGCATGGAGATCTCACAGCAGACTTCCAGTACCTGAAGGGGGCCTATAGGGATGCTGGGGATGGACTCTTCATTAGGGACTGTAGTGATAGGACAAGGGGTAATGGGTTCAAACTTTAACAGGGGAAGTTTAGATTGGATATAAGGAAGAAGTTCTTTACTGTAAGGCTGGTGAGGCACTGGAATGGGTTGCCCAGGGACGCTGTGAATGCTCCATCCCTAGCGGTGTTCAAGGCCAGGTTGGACGAAGCCTTGGGTGGCATGGTTTAGTGTGAGGTGTCCCTGCCCATGGTAGGGGGGTGGAACTAGACAATCTTAAGGTCCTCTCCAACCCTAACTATTCTATGATTCAGAAAACAAAGCAAATGGCTAACTTTGTAATATTAATATCAATGTCATAACTGATCATAGCAGGTCTTAGTTGCATTCACAGTGTAAAGTTGGGGGTTTTGTTTGTTTTGATTGTCTGTGTTTTGGTCTGTTTTAATGAAAAATAAAGACCTTAAAAAGAAACAGGACAATGGGATGCAACAGTCCGGAAACGAGAAAGGAAGATGAGCCAAACATCCAACACTTTGAAATTGGGCAAATTGCTGGCTGTGTGAGCAAGCCAGGCAGAAAGATTAGGTAGGAGACAGCAGTAACTGAGAAAGTCAGCAGAGCTCACAAACTAAATCCACACTGAGTTTATCTAGACCTGTTGCTGTTTCATGAGGCTCTATAAAAAACCAGCTGAGAGCAGAGGCAACTGAGAACTCCCTCCCAAAACTCAAGGATCAAAGTCAAGCTGCCAGTGGACAAATATCTGAAGCATGAAAAACAGTCAACCCAGGTAATCTGAAAGGTGGATACTTTTCTTATTGCAGGGAAGTGAATGAATTTATGGGCTTTGAGATCCTGCTGCCAAAACGCACCACTGAATGGACTGAGAAAACAGTAGAGTAATTCCTGCTGCCACTGACCTTTCTTCAGACTTTGTTCTATGTCTATTAATCCACCATCTAAAATAAGTTTATGACAATATTATGTTCTAAAGTATTTTTTAAATCACCACTATTTAGTCAGTAAAAAGCACACAGTCTCTAACATGCCACCTTTTTTTAGGCTTTGCTCAAACCAGTATTGCTTTTTTATTATTATTACGGTGTTTGATATTACTACTTGCCTTAAGGAATGGATACAAGATCCATCTCCTGGGGTTTCTGAGAAAAGCTTTCAAAATAAATAATAAATAGCGACTGTTTGTGAACCAATCAATGGTGAGGAAAAGAAAGATGTATTAAAGTACAGTCCTAAGTTGTGCATCTGCTAGAAATTATTGAAATTAAAGAGGAAGATAGTAGAATATTCAAATTCAACTTTCTGCAGTAACTTGGCTGTGCTTATATTTTATCACTTGCTGTAACAGAGGTCAAATATTCCACTTGTTTAATGTCACAGTAGAGCAACCGATTACACAAGCAGCAACATTTAATTGCTATCATGTACACATGAAAATAAAAAATTAGACTAATCTTTTATTCAAATCATGAGACTGATTCAAATTTACCAATCATTAACATTAATTGACTGTGATTCAAATCAAAAAGCAACAGCTGCATCCTGGTTTCGAGGCTTTGGGGAGGGTGATGGTTTTGAAAGTAATAAATTCATGTTCACACAGTTCTTATTTTTAAACATCAGAAGGAGTCAGTCAAAACTGTGGCCCCCTGTGCAGGCTTTACAAACCCTTTTCCTTTCTATAAACCAGTGTGCATTATGTCAGTGGAAAAACAACAGATACAGTGCCCTGTTACACACTGAGATCAGCATATTAGCGGTGACAGGACAGCTTCTTTCAGAAGGACTAATTACAGGTCCATATGTGCTGAATGCCCCAAGTAGCCTACAGAATAGCAAGAATTCAGCACATACTCTTAAGTAATGCTAAACTGCAAGAGCTGGCTTGCTAATCTCAGCAAAACTTTTGATGACCAGCACATCAGAAAGCTTAACTTTGAATTCCAGCAGGAATTGACTCAGCCCTTCCTCCTTCCAAGGTGGATAAATAGGGAGGTTCACACAGCTCGCTACACAGATGTCTATAAAACCGAACATTAAAATCCTGGTGGCTGACCTTTCCACAGCAGATATTTTGGATATCACAGCAATTCTTAAAAGCAGAATTTTCTTCAAATGCACCTGCAAAAAAAGTTTTCCTTCCACCTATGGTGCTGTGCAGAATTTTCCACCCAGGCACACTTCCATGGTGGATGAAATGGTTCTTTAATACACTGAGACTCCAGTAAAAATTATTTCAGGTTGTGGTATATTTTTCCCTGAGTAGTTTCCTCCAAGTGCACCTGGACTACAGTAATGCAGAGGAATAAAGGAATTGCTCCCAGGTCAGCCCATTGTCCTGCTGCCTCACCTCTGACAAGGGTCAGTGCTAAATACTTCAATCATTTTGATGGACAGGTTTTGGGGGCACATTTGCCTGTAAAGACACTTGAATACTTTTCCATCAACAGCCAATAATATCCTGAAACTCGTTGTCTTTTATAACTCTCTCTAATCTGAAGACAAACAGCATCTGTATTTTAGTTTAATAAACCTGATCTTTAGTAAAAATAATAATAAAACAACCTACCACTCTCTTGGTGTCAACGATTTTCAGTGGTAATGAGTTCCATGTGCTTATTATGTGGTGTTATACACATTTATATGATTAACTATTTTATATGACTAACTTCTTGCCTTGCAATTCAAATAAATAACTTCTTGTATTACAGTAGAAGAAATAACTGCTCTATACTCTGAAAACAGTACTGTATATTTTTTACGCACCTCCAGAACTCCTTTATATTTCTTTACCTTCTTTCCAAGTGAGTCACAAACTTTTCCATTTCTCTTAATAAAGAAAGCTTTCCACATCTCAGACTAATTGTGTTTTCTAAACATCTTCTCATTCTCTTGTCACCTTGTTGAAATATAGGGCAGTCAGAAATAAATGCAAGAATTCAAGACAGAAATCTGATGTAGAGGAATGGGATGTGATCACCCTAGAATTGCTTTGTGACAGATGCTCACACACACCAAACTACACCTGAACTAACTTTATCTGGCAGCACAACATTACACATAGGATCCAAACACACCCAGACACAGTGTGAATACTTGGGCTGTGAGCCCATACTGAGCTCTGAGCCACCATAAGCATGCCCATAGTTGCATTAGCTCCAGCAACTGCACTGATTAATTACTGGCTAAGATACACTCCTCCTTACACCTATGAATGTTTGTCTGACTTTTCTGGACAATGAGTAATGGCTTTTCCTGAGCAAAATAAGCAAAACAGTAACTTATAGAGCTTTATCTTAAAATGCTCTGGGATCCTCAAACTGGAAAACACCATTATAAATGTGTTCACTGCTTTCTACTTTAGATCCTTTAATGTTTCAGATCATTAGCATCTGTTTCAAGAGATGTCCCAAGATAAGACATGCCAGTGATAACACTTTTAACACTGAATGGGCTAGTAGAAATATTCAATTACTGCTTTTCCTTGTATAAAAAAGAAATATAAATGTATGTACATATGCTTATACATATATATAGCAATTTCTGGGCCAGCAATTTCATTTTTCTTTATAAAATTGTGGCACATAGCTAAATAATAATAGGATCTTATTAAATATTCTAATTCATTTCATTTCGGGTTATTAAAGTAAGATTAGACATCATAGCAGCTTTGCAACGCTGTGAAGAGTTGCCTAAGAAAGTAAAGGACCCTGAAGTGGTGGGAAGAAATTACCCCTCGGTGCAGAACAACCTCCTCATTCCTGCTACTGGCACTAACATTCTCCCAGGTCATGCTTACAAGCCCTATGTAATCACTACAAAGTATCTCAAAATAGAGCATTCCCCACTCTCAGGATCTTCCTTTTTCAGTTTATATCACAGTGCAGCAATGAAGCCCAGAAATACAGTGAGGTAAAGCATCTTCCTCAAGTATCCTGCAGGCACGAAAACATGGATTAAAACTCAGCTGCCTCACAGCAAAGCCAGCACTCGGTGGCAACTCACATCATTTCCAGTTTCATCACAACGCTTCCTAGCCTCACACACCAACAAAAAGTGCCCAGAAAATGAGAAATCATAAACCATAGTTTTTGTTCTTCACTGTTCTCTCTCCCACCTCGCCTTGAAAGCAAAGCACACAGGCGTGTTTTGGATAAGAACAAACAATAAGAAAGATGCATTTCATATTCAAGATTACAAAATGAAACAGCACCGTGACAGTGCACGGCAGTTTCCTAACTCTCCTAAATTAGCATCTGAATCAATAAGGAGGGAGCTGCAATGCACTGCAAAATAGAAAAGCAGCATGACAACATGCCACAGAAGCAATCTTAGAAGTTCACAGAAACATAAGAAGGATTAAAAACAAAAACTGCTGTTTACACACATACACACACAGAGTGCATGGGAGTGATTTTGTTTCCTCCCTTCCTCCAATGCAACTTTAAAGTATATTAATTAGAAGAGCTAAGATGGTCTGACTGATGACAACGCTGAAAATTTAGAACAAAGCCAGACAGAAATAGCCTGTTCCACTTGGCAATTACAGCACTTAAATATCATGCAGTATTGCTAGACACCTGTAAAACCTCGGTGCTGTGAAATACATTTCCCATCAGGGAGGACAGCAGATTTAGCAGACTAAGCAAAGGCCTGGTAACCAGCAACTCCTGACTTCTAAATCTGCATCTGAGTCTGAATTTCTGGGTGATGCTGGGCAAAAATTCATCTTACTTCCAGCTGTCTCCTCTACAATCTGGGTGAAGAAAATTGCAAAGGATTACAGCAGGGTCAGTGAAACATTTCGGAGACATTACCATTTGCTGCAAAACATCAAGTTTAATATTATGGGAAATGACGTTAACGATTATGCTTGCAGATCATACAAATGCAGAAGGAGGACATTCAAAGTTAAGGGGTTTACAGGATTTTCCCTAGTTTTCTATTTGATGAGTAGTCTCTGCATTAAATACAGCAAGGGTGCCTTACAGAAAAGCGAGCAGTTTTAACATGGTTGCCTGCTGTAATAACCTTTTTTATTATTAATACAAGCTTTGAGGAGAGATTAAATGAAAGAGTCACATATTTGATTTTCCTGCATTACAAGCACACAGCTGAAATCACCACTCAGGATTTCCAGTGTGAAGCAGTTTGTGCCTCACAGAGATAAGAATTCAAGAAAAAAAAAAAGAGGGGGGGGAGGGAAGATATGCAAATATTTCTGTTAAGTTCTAATTATCTGCCCCCCTGCAAACAACAAATGCACAACTGCCTCACGTTTTCTAAAGCCAACTTCTCCTGACTAACACTGCCTGTTCTTTATCATCCCCTTGTAGACACCTCCGCCCTCCCCCCGGCTCCTTTGGAGCAGTATTGACAGTGCACATTGATTCTCTCTCTGCAGATATAATAGTTCTTTCACTGCTGCTGCTGCTGCTTATAATTATAGCAATATGTGTCACTCAGTAATAAGACGTTCAATTATTCTTGGCCCCGTGAAGCATAACCCTTCAACTCACAAGACCAAAACCCAGGCGCTTATCCCCCCCCCCCCCCCCCCCCCAAAAGCATGATTTTCTTTGCAGTTATTTTTTTAAACTTTGCCTTGCATTCCCGATTCTCACTGGCCACTTCAAACTGCAGGAGTTTCACTGCAAGGAACTGCTGCCAGGCTACCACCACCAGTCCCCTCAGCAAAGAGAAAAAAAACATAAAGCTCTTCCCCCACTAAATGCATTTCCATCCCTCTGCATCATTACAACGGTAGCTGATTATAAAGAAACAAAGTTGTCCCGGAGTTTGACATGAAATGGGGGAAAAAAATTAACAATGACGTAACAGCAGTGGCAAGAGAGAATTTTAAAAGCGATATGAACAATCTTTAATCTTTTATCGACAGATTTCCTCTAGGAGACTTCTTTCTGAAAGGCAAAAATCACTGCGTTGTCCCTGCTAAAATCTCTTAAAATAAAAAGAATTAACTGAAGCTTACCTGTACTGGAATGTCATATTTGTAATTTTTATCTTTATTTCCTCTCCGTGGCGAATTTCTCCAGTCATTTCAAAGAGTTTGTTAGCCATTTTCTCATAAACTTTGGCATTCCTTTTAGTTTGTTTCAGCTCATCAAAAAATTCTTCCCAAACCAGCATTAAACCTCTCATTTCTGCATCAGTCCAGTTTCTGGCCCTCCTGTGTTTCTCAGTCTGAGAAGAGACAATGTAACTGGGAATTTCTGCTGCAGCCATTGCTGACTGACCTAAAAGGGTTTTAAAAGAGGACACTTAATATAGATTGAGTTTTTAGTTTAGGTTTTTTGTAGTGCAAGACATGCATATGTGGATAAAGAATTTGAATGACAACAGAACATATGAAACCTTTTTGCAACAGCTTGAAGCTTGAGTGCACAAAATGGGGCCTACATCTGACAGGCAGGAATTTAGTTAAAAGCTTTTAAACAGAGAAACGTCATTTTGATGTCACGTTTCCATAGCAACAGAGCAACTGCATAAGCTACAACAACAAAAACCTTTTAACTGAAAGCCAAAGAATCAGGACAAAGTTGACAGGCCATCAATATTAAAGCTTTTAAACACTTTAGGTTTAACAAAAAAAAAAAAAAGAAAAAAAAAAGATCTATGCAGCCTTTGAGAAGCTACTTTTAAGTTTCTACTTCTTTTTTAGCTTTCCCTTACCTTTTAGGCAGACAATCTGCTAGCAGGGGGTCATGGTCGCCTGAACGAGCTTTTAAGTTGCGCCTTGACAGACTCTCTAGGAGGTTGCAAGGACTGAGACCATGTACACAAAAAAAAAGCCTTTTTTTTTAGCAAAGATATGCTGCAAAAAGAATCAGCCAGCTTTCGGAAAACTATACATCTCTAAGCTAATAAATGTTTAAGCAGGCAGGCTCATTATAAAGGAGCCTGCATCTGGGTTTAACAACACGCAGAAAATAGCATTTAAGTGTTTAAATATAGAGAGAAACGTATATACAGTTTCAATATAGAGCCACTTTTTTTTTTAGCCCCGAGATGTTTTGCTGCTGATAAGCACACACTGCAGTCCTGTCAGTATGAATTTGCCTTTGTAGGTATGTATTACTGTATGTGTATTTGGTATTCCTAGTAATTTAGATGCTATTTATGCAGCCTGTGTTCTGCCTTAGGACTGCAGCAGAAGCATTTCACCTGCTTTATGGGGAACCTAAAAGGATTATTCAATGAGTTAAAAAAAAGGCTGTGAGATGCTTAGAACTGTGAATAAATTGCTCTGCCATAAAACAAGCATTTTGAGCTGGTTTCTGTATAGGGCTAAATTCTGCCAGCAGTTATACAGAGAAGCACCACTTATTCAACGCATTAAACATTGTGCAACACAAGCAGTGGGCCACATTCTGCCCCTGCTCACACTCCTGCAATCTGGCAATAACCTTTCACAGAAGAGAGAGATGCACGAACTGCATTGATTCAAGCCGTACTGCCAGCTGAAGAGAAAGATGTTAATTTCCTACAGCCCCAGTGCAACCGTGTTATGTAAAATATAAATAAATAAACCACGGACCTTTCTTATTATCATTTTCTGTTTCAGCATATACCAGCAATAACGACCTCACTGCAGGGCATTTCCTGAAGATTAATGACAGGCAGGGGTTAATGGCCTGAGGCTCACCCAGTCAGTCGTTAATCCCCAGGAAATGTTCTGTGCCTCAATCCTTAATGCTTAAGTATCCTATAAATTGTAAGTCTTCTCATAACCACATCCTCGATCTTAACAATAGTTTAAAAATGCACGGCTTGGTTTGCATCCTGGAGTAGGCAAAGAGAACACGTAATGTTCCTAAAGGGTACACTAGTAAAACCTGTAGTATCGTTGCCTTCTTTCTAATTTATTTATTCTATTGTGCATTACAAAAGGCACAACAGCATACCATAGAACACGGAGGGGAAATCACATATACTGTACATAGGAACTTCCACTGATCATGCCTCTGGAGTGTGTCTCTGTCAGAAACGTACCTGCTGAGTCACTGCCTTCCTTAAAACAGGGAAAATAAATCCCCTAGCTTCCAAATAACTACTTTTAACTACTAATATGACAGCCTAGCAACTATTACCTTTAAAACTGTGTAAATAGCAGCATCTGTTGTGATGATGATCTTGCATGGTTTGTTTCTTGGGTGGCCAGCTGGGAGATACCACATGATCAGGGGACAGATGGTGGTCAGAAGAGGATCAGCTGGTGACACATTCATTTTATTAATTTATTGTTTCGTTTTGCAATTCCCATCACTTAACCTCAGGCTCCAGGCAGTTAGGTTAATACTACAGTACCAAAGTCACAGCCAGAGGCTGGGGATCACCAGGATGAGTCTAAGGAAGCAATGGAGTGTGCAAGAGGAAGATACCACCAGTCTCCTGTTACAGCACTGGGTCTGACCTGGGACCAGTGCAAGCCACTGCAAAGCCAAGCTTCCTTTTCAACCATTAAATCATCAACTAGAGATTTGTTTCCACTTCCCAGACTTTAATCCACCTAGGTTCTGAATGCTGATTAACACCGCAGAAACCTATAGTGTGAGAGACACCCATTGTAAAAACCCAAAGATATGTATGGTCTCTGCTTTAAAGATCTTTTTAATCTGGTTTCAAGCACAACAACCAGGACAGGGTGGGGGAGAACCTGTCCAGCTGCAACAAGCTCTTTCTGTGATGGTCCACAGCCATTCCTTCCCCTTTTCATCCACATGTGCCTGGCATATACACGGCTGCTCCTTGTGCTCCACACCATCTGCTGGGGCCTTCCCTGGCCCTCGGCCCCAGACTGGGATCTTGCAGAAGGGTGGGGGGTGTTTCCCTGTACAGTTCACATCTCAACTTCTCTGTATGCTGTTTCCTATTAGCGCAATTGACAGATTGATATAGTGGTATAGTGCTATTTAACATCTGTTAAATAAAAGAGATGCTTTCTAATAATGCTTCCCTTATTCCCCTCGCCTCAGCACCAGAGGTGAATCTAAGCTTCCAGGACTTGGGTTTGATCCCCTCCTCTGAGAAAGTCATTGATATGAATTGTGGAGACTCCGCATGCCTTCTCTGCCTTGCTGAAGCACTTGAGCCAAGTGGTTGATAAAATGACTGTTTTCCTACATGGAGCTGAATGCAAGGAAAACTTTTTTACCCCAAATAATCCCTGAAGTCCTCACCAGTGCCTGGGAATTACAGAACCACCTCTCCCGGCTGTGCCTCTCTCTGCTGGTGTTCTGCAGATGTGCTCAGTCCCCGGGAGTCACTAACCCTCTGTCCTGGCCCCTGAGGCAGGAGAAACAACTAAGATGGGACCAGCAAACCTTTAGGGGAAGAGCAGCCCTGCAGCAGCGAGAGCCATCCCTCCCCAGGATGGGGGCACTGCGAGGAGAAGCTCTGCTAGCACACAGTTGCATCTTGCCCGGCTCAAGCCAAAGGCCAGCCAAGACTCATCATGTACCTCAGACTGGCTGGTCACCAAACCCAGAATAACTGCTGGCACGACAAGCTGCAACTCTGCCATCCCTCACGCGCTCTACTCTGACGTCTCTGTTGACGCCAGAGTGCTCCAGCATCAGCCTCCTTCAGACTGAGGACCAACCTGGCACCGAGTACAACACAAGCAACTGAAGTTGTAACTGTCCTCATCAATAAAGTAAGGATGTTGCGTCTCTTGGAAAACACCAGAATACATAATGGAGCTTCTGAGGATACCTCTGTCAATGACTTCCCTCTGTAGGAGAAAGCTGCTCTCATGCTCACCCCAGTCGCTCCTCTGATGGGCACTGAAATGACAAGTCTAGAAGACATTTTTTATGGACCCTGACCTCAGTGGGATGGAGGATCTCACTCGTGCCCTTCCTTTTAACACACACCTGCTTCTAAGAGCTTAGAGGAACATGAATTTAATGATCCTCTCACAGATCTGTTCCTCATATCATGTCTAAACATCCTACCTTTATTTGCAATCAATATGTACCAGCTTAAAAAATAGCTCTCACAGCTCTTCCACCTTTCATGATGACCTCTACAGATGACAAGCCCCAAACAGGGTAGAAGGGTTTCTCATGTGCAGATGTGGATCTAACAAAGTTCGCCCGTAGATGTTTCTATGGCAGAGATCAGACAACTCCATTAATCCTAACTATCTGTTGACTACACTTCGAGTGATCTCTGCTACCTGACTGTGGACAGCCTTCAGCTGTGCAAATGTGGGTTAACACATGCCAAATAAAACTTCCTTTAGCCAAGTTTTAGGGAAAGGTGTTTTCCCTTGCATTTGCTGTGAGATAACAGCTCTAGTCAGTCAATTACCGGAGCTCAACCCACAGACTGTGAGCCATTAAACTGTTATTACAGAAGAGCATGTCCGATCCTGTTGATGGGATTGTGGTGGGAGAAGTGAGGCAGCATTTTCTTGGCAAAGCAGGATTTATTCTGTTAGGATTAAAAAAATTTCTGCAGCCTCTCCTAAACGTATGTATCCGCAACCCAAATGGGCAGCTGCCTATAGAGGTGCTAACACACAGGTTGGTACCGGTTTGTATTTCAGAAATGGAAATACATTAGTTTTGGTTCAGGTAAGTCTTGAGACCAATTGGCTTCCTCCCAGTTTTAGCTCTAAATGCACCGAACATCCTTTTAGGCAGCAACTCAGAGCAGGGAAACTGGGAGAAGGTCCCCACTGGAGGGCCATGAGAAGTATGCATCACCCCTCAAAGACACAGGTCCAGCCCTCTAAAACACATGGGTATTTCAGGAGACCATCCAATAATGTCTTGATTACATATAACTCAAAAAATAAAGCTGCGTGCAGCTTTTTGTGTTTGAGGCAGGCTGTTGAAAGCAAGATCATCCAAAGCACAGGCTTGTCGTGGCTCTTTGCAATACTACCATCTGGCAGTGCAGTTGATACTGTGTTTTAAGTTCAAAAAAGCTATCTGCAGGAGCTGGGGGGTTGTCACCTTCCCCACGTTTTGATGTCTACTGGGCTAAAATGCCCACTTCCTAAAGTCTTACCGAAAATGACGGTTTTAGTGTCTCTGATCACTGCACACTGCAATTTGCAAAGAGAGATAAAGGCAATGAGGTAAGAAATACTCTTCCACTACTTCTGAAAACCTTGACCAGAGGAGATAGGCAGGGACAGGCAGTTACAGAGGAGAAGCTGTCTTCTTTTCTCCTCCATTAAACCAAACGGGTCCATGGCAGTGAAGCTATTGTGCTCGGGAAAGTGCTGGAAACCAGGAGCTCACCCTAAGGTAGGGAAGTGCCTTGCAGACAGTGGTGGAGCTGGGCTTGGGAATTCTAACAAGGTCCATGCACCCCTTCAGTCTGTCATACTCCTTGGGTGATGGAGTCATGTGGGTTTGCAAAGGCTCAGAAGATATAGAAAACCATAAGGGCTGTGAACACAAAGCCAGCAGGTCAGTGCTGTAAAGCTGTACACAAACCACAGCTCATGATGTCCTAATACCTGTGAGGGACAGCTAACAATACAACAGCATTTGTAAAGGAAGCAGAAAGCTTTCCAAACTGCAGGAGGTCCTATTACAAAGACAGAAAGAAAATATTCAGGCTGAGGAAGTACAGTAGGTGTTTCAAGGTACACAAAAAAAGGACAGGCCCTTTCATCAGAGGGTCTAAAACCAAACTGGGACATGCCACAAGGAGAAAAATTAGGATAGACCGGGGGGACAAGTGACAGCAATACATTACTGAGTAAAGCGCATCACATCGTTGAGCAGCTTTTATGTGCATCTAAAACAATACCTGCAACGAAGTACGACAATAGAAATGGGTGCTTTGGAGGAAGCTGGTTGAGGGGAAGGTGTCCTGGCTGACACAGGGCAGGGAAGGTCATGATATGTCAACACTCAGAACAAAAAGAACAAGAAAAATACACATTTCCACACAAACATCCTGCCATAGGGCCCTCTGTGTGGCAGGTTTCTGTGATGGTGAGCAGGGCACAGGGCCGCCCAGGAGGATGGACTGAGAAGGTGCAGGTGAGATGGAGGCAGCTGG